TTCACAGCATACAAGTCCTGCACCAGCCTATATTCTCCAGACGGCTTCCGTAATGGCAGGAGTGGAGTGTTCCAGGGTGACTGGCATTTGACTACAAACATGAGTCCATGTTTGTAGAGTCGCTCACTCTGTTTGTGAACGCCTCATAAGGCTTCTGGGAAAAGCAGGTACCGGCAAACCGAACTGTGGTTGCCCCTGGTTTTAGCTTTACTACCAGTGGCACCTAATCTTTAGCCAGCCCGGGTGGGTTATCTTCAGCCCATACTCCAGGAATTTTATTAAGTAGCCTCTGTAATTCAAGTATTCCTGGTTCGTGAGACAGTTTTGGTGGCTTTTTTGTGTATAGCCTCCATTCCTCAGTTTGCTGGACAGTAAGGGTTAACACCATGGCCTTTGGGTGAGTCAGATTTAGAGTTATATCCCCTTGCGGCCCAAAAGCAATCTGTGCTTGCAGTCTTCGGAGTAGGTCTCTCCCCAGGAGGGTAACTGGGCAATTTGGGAGGTATAGGAATTCATGTTGGACCTCTGGTCCTCCTATAACAAACCGCCTTGGCTGACAAAATGGCCTCTTTTCTGAGACCCTGGTGGCCCCAAAAATAGTTGTATAGTGTTTGGATAGTGGTCCTATGGGTAGGGTTACTACCAAGTGTTCAGCCCCAGTGTCCACCATAAAGTCCATTAGCTGGCCCCGCACTTCTAATGTGACCATGGGCTCCTGGGGGCCTAAGGAGAAGGAGCCCGGTCTGTCCTTGTCCTTGTATTCTTCAGTCCCTGCCAGCCGAATCAGGTCAGTACCTGGTTCCTTCAGGGTGCAGCAGCCTTTGACAAGTGGATTTTTTGTTTCGCAGCCTCGGCCATTTTCTTCACTGCCGTCTGGATACTGATTTTTCCAGTGTCCCCTTTTGCATCATGCACATTGGTCCTTATCTAGCTCAGCGAGCTTTCGAGCCTCTGTCCAGTTTGGCCCCATTTGCATCTGCGCCCGTGTCCATGTCTGTGCCCCCTTGCAATGCTAGTTTCCGTGAGGACCACTGCTAACGTATCAGCCTTTTTCCTAAGCGTCTGATCTGCTTCCTTTTTTGCCTCTTGGTCATGGTTAACGTACACCTTGGTGGCCACTCCTATAAATTGGGTGGCATTCATGCCTGCAAAACTCTCTACCTTTTGCATCTTGCACTTGATGTCACCCTGGGCTTGTCCTACAAATACCGTGTTCACCATGCACTGATTTTCAGTGGCCTCAGGGTCAAACGGAGTGTAAAACTGGAATGCCTCACAGAGTCTCTCATAAAACTGGCTAGGGCTCTCATCAGCTCCTTGAAGTACTTCTGAGATATTTCCTATATTGATTGCCTTTTTCCTGCCTTCCTTTAGCCCCTGCAAGAGTGCTTCTCAGTACTTCTGTAGGTACTGTAATTGGGCTGCATCATTTGAATCCCAGTGGGGGTCTGCTTCTGGGAACTGGTCCTGAGTGCATGCCTGAACATTAAGTGTGCCTTCAGGTGCATTTGCTTCCAGCCAGCAGAGAGCTGCCTGGGTTACCCTCCAGCGCTCCTCAGTGTTAAACAGCGTCAAGAGGAGCTGCCTACAGTCTGACCAAGTTGGATTGTGTGTCTGGAAGATGGACTGCATTAGATCTATGAGGGCCTGAGTGTTCTCCATGTAGGAGGGGGTATGGTGTTTCCAGTTTAGGAGATCAGTGGTTGTAAAAGGCTGGTAGATGAAGGTCCATTGCCCCCCTTGGACTTGACCTGGTTCATCATAATAGATGGGTCCCCATGTATCCCTGAGAGGCATTTGCATAGCCCAAGCGTGACCAGATCGGAGGCAGCCTGCTTGATCATCTTGTCTTTCTTCCCTGACCTTCTGGGGCTCCGATCTTTCCTTCTGGGGTGAGTCTCGGAGCATGTTACCATCTGAATCTGACTCCTTGGGGGCCGTTGGCCTCGGTAAATGGGGGTAGAGTGGAATATATGGAAGAGGAATTTCTATCTCCTCTGGCAGTTCCTGCAAAACTGGTTTCTCTTGCCCTTCCCATGACTTTTCCTTTGTCTCCATATTTGCCAGCGAAGCTGAGATTTTACTTTCACTTTAGGCTCGGTCTGAGCCACAAGCATTTTGCAGTAAGCTGCCAGGCAGGGCTGCAACCATGCAGGTCGAGTTTGAACTATTTTTAGCCATGAGTCAATATAAGGGAATTGGTCTGGGTGCCCTGGCTGTCATTCGACCCCAGTCACCACCTTAAATACATGGCCAATTGTTTCCCTATCTATAGTTCCTTCCGCTGGCCATCTGACACTGAAAGAGGGCCATTCTATTTCACAGAGAGTTCTCAACCTCCGAGGGGTCAACTTCATCCCATAATCCCCTGCATAACCTTTCTTAAAACTTTTTAACATACAGTGTAATGGGGTGGGTTTTGACAACTTCCCTCCTATTTCCTCCCAGTTACAGCACAACACACTCTTTTGCTTCAGACCGATTAGACTGTCCCCCTCGCAGGAGTATTTCAGACGCCACTTAGCATTGGAGGCTCCATTTTGACCCCCACAAATACTAAATTGTGGGGCACCTCCCTAAGCCATATGCGGATCGCCTCTAGTCCTGGTCGGTCCCACAGTTCGCTCAGAGTGTACGGTCTGTGCGAAGAGACCTGCAGCTCCCACATGTCACTCCCCGTGTTGGTTCCTCCTGGAACTGCCTCTTTCACACACACTCACACACTTCCCTGCTCCCAGTTCCCCTTTCTCAACCGACTCTGCGAGCCGCTTTCGTGCCCTGGGTTGGTTGGGGTGTGAGTTTCCCTGATTTTGCAAGCCACTCTCACGTCCTGTGTCGGACTACTAGTTACTCCCCAGGAGGCGATCAAGCTCCCCTTCCATTCTTATGGGACAGGTCCTGCCTCGGGCCCAAACCTTACCGCGATCCTGTAATGCACTGTTCCTGGAATCGTCCTGTACCCCCTTAGGTTCCATTGTGCTGTCAGGTAGGGTCGTGGGAGAGCCGATCACCCCTCCGGATTGAAGTTCTCCCAGTGGTGCCTGGGGGCATGGGTCTTCCCCAGCCTGGGACTCCAGTCCCACAGGCAAAGAGACAGTAAACCTGTCGTCTCCAATCCTGGGCGAGCCCCCAGAAAATGTTTTGGGAATCAGAGGACTGGAGAGACCAATAGGTGGAACAGGAGGATTTTATTTAAGTGGCCACTGGCCCAATGGATTCACATCCAAAGGGTAGGCCCCGAACAAAGACAGGGCTTGACTTTTATACACACTTCTGAAAGGGGTTGGCTAGTTTAAATGGCACAGCGGGAATCTAATGGCGTGAAACTCGTGGTGCAGGCAAGGAGGCTTACAGAGTCAGAACAAAGGCAGTTAATCAAACAGTGACAGATTTCGTAATCCTTAGCATAGCTTGTGACCTTGCAGCTGCTTTGAAGGAAAAACAGGAACTTACAAAACTTGGAAATTGAGTAATGGTAAGGGGGATGAGGAGATAGTAAAGGAATTTGATTTTCTTAACCTTGCTCTGAGAGGGTGTTGGGAGAGTCTCTGGAGCTCCTTCCTTTGGGCTCTGGCTTTCCAGATAGTCTTATCAAGGCTTTGCCAGGGCCCTGCCTATTGCTGGCCTTGGAGTGAATCAGCTAAGTACAGGAAAACTTGTTTTTCTCTTTTTAATTTCTGCTTCAGCCTCGTTTGTGATTCCTTCACCCAGCGTTCCTATAATCAACCAGGGTTGTTCTTGGAGACTTGGCTTTGATGGTATGTTTTCTGGCCAGGCACAGTGGGTCAAGCCTTTAATCCCAGGACTTTGGGAGGCTGAGGTGGGCTGATCACTTGAGGTCAGGAGTTCGAAACCAGCCTGACCAACAGGGCAAAACCCCATCTCTACTAAAAATACAAAAATTAGCCAGGTATGGTGGGGCATTCCTGTAATTCCAGCTACTTGGGAGGCTGAGGCAGGAGAATCATTTGAACCCAGGAGGCAGAGGTTGCAGTGAGCCGAGATCGGAACAAGACTCCATCTCAGCCAGAAGAAAAAAAAAAATATGTTTTCTTCTGTGGAGACTTATCCTCTAAGTTGTAATTAGTCAGTATCTTAACAGCCAGCTAAGCACCGGAACATGTTTTGGCAATGATATGGCAGACTAGATTTGGATTAAAGTCTTGGTGTGCTGCTTGGTATTAGCTGTGTGACTTTTTTCAAATTATCTATGTTTTCAAACTTTTAGTTTCCTAATTTACAAAACAAAGGTAATAATACCTACCGCATAAGGCTCAATGACATAATAATATGTAAAATGCCTGGCAGGGCTCATTAAGATCTAAAACTTATTAAGTGTTATTAATATCAACTATTTTCATTATTAACAATTTGTTTATTTTGAGTACACCCACTGAGCCAGACTACTTGTTCAAATTCCAGCTCCATGCCTTACTGTCTTTCTTAATCTTGGGCAAGTTACTAAATTTTCTGTGCTTTATTTTAGTTTTCTTATCTATAAAATACAAATAATCTGTGCTTTATTATATTGTTAAGAATAAATTAGTGAATACATGTGAAGCACTTAAAGCAGTATCTGGCATTTAATAACTGCTCAATAAGTGTTAGCAATTAATATTCTACCATCACTTTATTTTTAGGAGGTCTCAAAAGGGTAGTTCTCTGTGAAAGATAATTGTGAAGGACTTAGAAGGATACCAAAGACACATTTTACCTACTTCCCAACATGGCCTAGGTCCAATACTGGTACAATCTACTTACAAAATCTAGGTGGCAATTCCTCTCCCAAGGTTCTTTCCTAATAAGGTTCTTTTAAAAAAGTTGTTTACACAAATTCTGAAAGTCTGCCCACCACCCACCCCTCATTCCCTTATGTAAATCTTAATTGATTGATCTGTGGCAGAGTTCTGTTTTTCTGTAAAAGTTTTATAAGATAGAGATTTATAATTTGTTTTTCAGAAGAAGATTGTTACTAAATTGGTTTAATTTCTTTTTTCTAGCAACCCCCTCCACGTTTGATAAACTTTCAGAATCACAGCCCCAAACCCAATGGACCAGTTCTTCCTCCTCATCCTCAACAACTGAGGTATCCACCAAACCAGAATATACCACGACAAGCAATAAAGCCCAATCCCCTACAGATGGCTTTCTTGGCTCAACAAGCCATAAAACAGGTATAGATCTACCTTCCTTTCTCACTTGCTTATTCTGCTGCTTTCTACTTTCAGATCACAATGAATTTATAGATTAAGCAACAGCAAATAGCCAAGAGCAAGCTTTCTTTTTCATTTTTTAAATAATGTGAATTGCAAAGTTTGATGCTTTTTATCAATAAGAGAAATTAAACCACTTATGTAGAAGTGAAGGCCTAATATAATCAATGACCATAGGTATTAATTTTTATAATATGGTATGGATAACTTTTAGGTGAGTATATTAAATTTCCTAAGATAAAAGTATTCTAACAAATACAAGTTACATTCCACAAAATAGAACAATAAATCAATATTCGAAGTGTCCCAAGAAGATTTCTTGGAAACAAAATTATGGCACAGTTTCAAGAAGGAATACATATATATCTGATGAAGTTTATTATTTAATGCATATTTAATATGATACAGCTTATTTATTTATTTTCATTTTTTATTTTTTTTGAGACAGAGTCTCTCTCTGTTGCCCAGGCTGGAGTGCAGTGGCACAATCTTGGCTCACTGCAAGCCCCGCCTCCTGGGTTCACGCCATTCTCCTGCCTCAGCCTCCCCAGTAGCTGAGACTACAGGTACTCGCCACCATGCCCGGCTAACTTTTTTTGTATTTTTAGTAGAGACAGGGTTTCACCGTGTTAGCCAGGATGGTCTCAATCTCCTAAACTCGTGAGCCACCATGCCTGGCCTCTTTTTTTTTTTTTAAACGGAGTCTTACTCTGTTACTCAGGCTAGAGTACAGTGGCATGATCTCAGCTCACTGCAACCTCTGCCTCCCGGGTTCAAGCGATTTTCTTGCCTCAGCCTCCAGAGTAGCTGGGATTACAAGTGCCCACTACCATGCTTGGCTAATTTTTGTATTTTTAGTAGAGACAGGGTTTCACCATGTTAGCCAGGCTGATCTCGAACGCCTGGCCTCAGGTGATATGCCCACCTCAGCCTCCCAAAGTGCTGGTATTACAGGTGTGGGCCTGTAATCCCACCTGTAATACCTGGCTGTATTATTTATATTCTTAATGTCTTCAGGTAAAAATATTTTCTGTGTTTTACATTATCCTAAAGTGAAAGTTATCACAGTGTTTTTTCTTCTCAAAGCTCCTGTGACAATAGCCTGTCTAGCTGATTGTAGACTGATTTTGGTTTAATTTTTTTCTCCAAGACCAAAATAAAAGATGATGCAATTTTCATAATTCTGTAACATTCATTTTAATAAAATCATTTTAATATTCTAAAAGTATTCACATTCTGTGTCTATACATATGTTTGTATAATCAATTTGGCTTTGCTATATCATCACCAAATTCTCTTAAACAATATTTTAATTATTTAAAATAAAATTCATACCAATTATTTCATCATTTGAAGGAAAGTAAAAAGCTTCAGTTTGGCCTTAAATTCTGCTTATTTACCTAAAAATTTTGTGGCACTTAGTCTTTTCACATCTCACTTGCCTCAGCTATAAAATGAGTATCTTGCAGAGTTAATGTTGAGAGTTTATTCTAAAGTATACACAAGCACCTAGCACATGCTCAGTACTCACATGTTTACTTCTTCCCTATTTATTATATTTTAATGAGTAGGCGCTCTAAATATGTTTTTTAAAAATGGTTGTTGACCAAAATTGTAAACATGAATGAATAAGTGAACAAGCCAGGAAAAAATCTAGTGGGAAATTGATTTTAAGTAGTAGATGAGTTTAAGAAATTAACATGTACTCATACAGTGGAATACTTTTCAGATATTAAGAAAATGCAATAATCTAGATATGATTTTCTGAGTATGTGAGGAAAAGCATGTTATAGAATTTTTGTGAGGTGTTATCTCATTTGTGTGTGTGTTTTCCTCCAGCCTCATCATGTACATAGAAAAAAACCTGAAACGATCCACCAACTAACTGATTGTTCTTGGTAGAGGAGGAGGAAAGGGGGCATAGGGGTAGGGAATATGAGGGAGGAGTAGGTGGTAAAGAGGACATTCATGTCCAACTATGTTTCTGTATGTAGTTTTTACAGTGGAATATATAAATTAGGTTTTTCACAATTAAAATGTTTCAGACACTGTCTCTCTATATAGTGTTGTTCATTTATGAATGACCATGTTTGGAAAATACAGCATCTTGCAATATTCTTATTTTTCTTCTCCCAGCATGAAAATTTTCAAACATAATACAAATTGAAAGAATTATATAGGGAACATTTTGTTCTGCTTGCCTTATTACGTATTTATTCCTTTGTCCATTCATCAAGTCATCCTTTTTTTTTTTTTTTTGAGGCGGAATCTCGCTCTCTGTAGCCCAGGCTGGAGTGCACTGGTGTGGGGTCTTGGCTTACTGCAACCTCTGCCTCCTGGGTTCCAGTGATTCTCCTGCCACAGCCTCCCAAGTAGCTGGGATTACAGGGGCCCACCACCACGCCCAGTTAATTTTTGTGTTTTTAGTAGAGATGGAGTTTCACCATGTTGGCCAGGCTGGTGTTGAACTCCTGACCTTAAGTGATCCACCCATCTCGGGCTCCCAAAGTGCTGGGATTACAGGCATGAGCCGCCATGCCCAGCCTATCATATTTTTCAATAGGTTTTCAGTAAATTGCAGACAGCAGCATGCTTCACTTCTATATACTTCAGCAAGCCTGTCATCATCTTAATGTGTTTATCTCAGCAGGAATGATAGTACTTTCCTCGGATATTTATCGAGGCCTAATTAATCTCTTTATATATGAGAAAGAGGAATATAAAATCCCGAAAGCACCAGTCTGTAGCTTATTGTTTTCAGGTGTTTCAGATAGGGATAGAAGAAATGTATGTTTTCAACCCTCCATCTTTAACTTGAAGTTGCTATGTATATATTTACTTTTTTTTTTTTTCCAGTACGTATAAACCTGCCAAGATTGGGTACTGTGATTTTCTGGTATATACTAACTGTTGTCTTCCAGTAAAAATCAGTGCTTTTTACTGTGTGTTGTTTTTTTTTTTGACAAGATTAATGAAAATTATATATACTTGTACAGTCTTTCCCTGTCCCATTCTCCTTCCATGTAAATTACAGTTGAACTCTTCTACTTCATTTTGTGTGAGTGATTAGATAGACTTTGTATTTTATAAGCTTGTTGATAGCCTTTGTTCTTCCCTTCTTGTTACTGTAGTGGCAGATCAGCAGTGGACAGGGAACCCCATCAACTACCAACAGCACATCCTCTACTCCTTCCAGTCCCACGATTACTAGTGCAGCAGGATACGATGGAAAGGCTTTTGGTTCACCTATGATCGATTTGAGCTCACCAGTGGGAGGGTCTTATAATCTTCCCTCTCTTCCAGATGTAAGTAGACACAAAATTTATACCAGCATCTGTTGAAAATTGTCCACCGGGTACAGTGGCTCACTCCTGTAATCCCAGCACTTTGGGAGGCTGAGGCAGATGGATCACTTGAGGTCAGGAGTTTGAGACCAGCCTGGCCAACATGGTGAAATCCTGTCTCTACCAAAAAATACAGAAATTAACCAGGCATGGTAGCACACGCCTGTAATCCCAGCTACTTGGGAGGCAGAGGCTGTGGTGAGCCGAGGTCATGCCACTGCACTCCAGCCTAACAGAGCGAGAACCCTGTCTCAAGAATGAAAGAAAATTGTCAGTGAATTTGGATCTGGTAGAAGGCATGAATTTGTTGGATTATAGGTTGTTTGTTTTTACAAGTTAATTTTAATCCTTTAGAATATTACAACGGTCGTAAAAGTAAAAAGATTATGAACATTGGACACATAATGACTTTCAAGCCACCAGAGTTAAAGGTGTTTGTAAATGAGTGATTATGGTGAGGGATCATGGAATCTAAGCTGGGAAAGGAGAAAAGTAAGGACATGGAAAGATATGCTGGGAAGTTGAATGGCTGGACATCAGAAGAGATGAAAACAAGTTTAATAAGAGAAATCCTGTTAGATCATACTGACAAGTGCAAAATTACCTCTGGTTTATATTACATGTGAATTAACTCACTCTCCAAACTCTTTGTCAGTATGACTTTTTGTTATTTATTATATTTTTTAATGATTTTTATTTTTAATAGAGATGGGGGAGACTCCCTATGTTACCCAGGCTGGTCTTGAACTCCTGGGCTGAAGGGATCCTCCCGCCTGGGCCTCCTAAAGTGCTGGGATTACAGGCATGAGCCACCACACCCAGTCAGTTTGACTATTCCAAAGGGAGAAATTCTACATTCTGTAGACATATCTCTATATATAAGTTGATTCTGTGTTTGATCCTTTTTTTAATCTAAGGTTAGATAACCCACTGTCGTGCACATACACATACGCAACCTAACGTTAAGAAGCTTTTAGGAAATATCGTGTACTCTGTACTTGGATTGAATTACCTATAAGATTGTGAAAAGAACTTTTTTATTTTCATTATTTAATTTGTTTTTCAAGTTGAGATCAATTAATATTTCCTAATAGTTGCATTGTTAATCTTACCAGAGTCATTCCATTTTTAAAATAGTTTTGTATACCTTAAATGAGTAGGATACATATATTTTTTCATGTATGGATGGTTCATAGGAAACCTTATATCTAATCCCCATAGTTTTATTTGGTTTTTAGGATTATCCCACAACATAAACAACTTTCCTTGTATTAAGTTCTCACGAATTTAGTCATTCTAGTACTTTTTGTACTCTCTGAAAAATATTGGCCAAGTATTGCCAAAAGAATATTAAAACAAAAATGACCCTGTGTATTAACCACCCAGCCCGATTTCCCCCGCCCCCGAACCCACAGGAAGTAAAATTCTTTCTGCTTTTTCCTCTGCAGATCTCATACAGGTGAACCTTTTTCCACCAGCCTTTCTTACCTGAAATTCCTCTTATGAATTACAGAATAAACTAAAATGAGTGACTGTTTTCTCATTTCTCCCAAAGGTGCTTCATAACTAGTACCATTCTAGGTGCATAAGCAAGAAATTGATTAATTATATACAAACTGTGCCCTATGGCTGTAGGACTTAATTATCTTATAGAATCCTGGATGAACAAGAGTAGAACTATGTTAAAGAATTGAAATGGATTTTAAGCCCAAAGACATTGGTGGGAAATTTGGTATATGTAGGCATGAAGGAATTTTTGTGCCTAAAGCAGTAAACTCTTACTCATTAGGGATTTATAAATATTTTTGCCTGGCAGTGAATAAGGAAAACAGTGTTATTTGTATTCCTGTTATATTAAAGCAAGAATCTTTAGGGTTCATCTTTTCTCCTACAAAACAAGAGTAATGTATTCAGTGAGGTTAGTGCTATAGATATATGGACTTCATCTATCTAGCACATACCCAGAGTGTCAGTTGCTAAAGTATCCCTTTCAGAGGGTCCACTAGGTCCTATCTATGTGAGGCTAGATTTTCTTCATATTTTTCAAGCAAAACTATACACCACAATAGATTGAATGCTGTTTAGGGAGACATTAAAGAGATTTGCAAGAAATGTAAAATTGTGATAGTCTTCTCACCAAGTTTATGTTTTTCATATGGCAACCTTTTGTCATTTCTTTATAAATTAAGAATTTTTTTTCCAATTTTTAAGAGTGTGAATGACATGATACTCCTTTTGACTCTTGTTTCTGAAATACTGTCCTCAATATTTTACTAAAATGAAACACTAAGATAGTGAAAACCTTTATTCAAGGTTGTTTATGGGGAAAATATCTGTTAGAACTTCTCAAATGTGGTATCTATGTTTTGTTATTTGATAATAATTAAGTTATTGAAGCTTTCTTATAAATTTAAAAGTAGCTTTTAACTTGCAAAGTCAGAATGCCCTGAAATAATTTCTTTTCTTGTAAGATTGACTGTTCGAGTACTATTATGCTGGACAATATTGTGAGGAAAGATACTAATATAGATCATGGCCAGCCAAGACCACCCTCAAACAGAACGGTCCAGTCACCAAATTCATCAGTGCCATCTCCAGGCCTTGCAGGTAAAGTGGGCTTCTTTTGATTTTTGTGAAAGTTTTTCTAGTTTTCACTTAACTTGGAATAAAAAATTACCCCTCTTCCCTTTCTTTTTTGTTGAATGCTTAATCTGAGTTTTTCACTATGTAAAATTAGTATGCTTTCAAAGAAAACATAGGTTAAATTTCTTTATCCTTTCTTTCGGGTCACAGTCTCACTCTGTTGCCCAGGCTAGAGTGCAGTGGTGCGATCATAGCTCACTGCAGACTTACTCCTGAGCTCTAGCGATCTCCCACTTCAGCCTCCTGAGTAGTTGGGACTGTAAGTGTGCTGCTCTACCAAGCGTGGCTAATGTTTTTTGTTTTTTGGTAGAAACAGTCTTGAACTTCTGGCCTTACGTGATCCGTCTGCCTTAGCCTCCCAAAGCTTTGGGATTACAGGCATGAGCCATCATACCAGGCCTTCTTTACCTTTTCAATTTCAACAGAACTTCCCACCATTATAGTACTTCCAGGGGGAAATTGGTGTTATCTTCTCTCTTATTGATAAGTTGCGTGTGATGTGATCTTTAAGATGTAATTTGCCTAGGGTCAAAATGTATTAGTAACAATAAGTAGAAATATCACTCTTTTGGTGATTTGTTTGGTGTTTAATTGTGTTTGTGAATCTTAACATACCTACTCATTTCCTCTGAGAGAAAAACTCTAATATTACTTCTGAGGACATAGGTACCTTAAACCAAAATATGAAAAGAGTCACTCACCAGTCACATGAACACAATTTAAATGGGGATGCCTATTTTAAACAAACGTATGACAAAATATGGCAGAAAAACTGTTTATCATATGACAGGTTTATACAAATAAGGAACATATGTGGTATTGCCAAAGGACATGATGAAGTAGATAATTCCCTAAAGAGGAAATACATTTATCCAATATAGCAGATGAGACAAAATGTCATTCTTACTAGTGGTCATAAGAAAAATCAAAACAAGATAGAATTTCTAAGTTACTGAATTAGCTAAGATTTAAATAATAAAAATAGTCATTCAGAATGTGAGAGGTACTCTCATACATAGGTGGAAGGGGTATGAGTTGGCAAAACATTCCTGGAAATCATCATAGCAATATTACTAAAGTTTACATTTATCTAATACTGTACTGTGGGCCAGACTGTGGGCAAAGTACCTTATATGTATTACCTAGTAGGATATTTGCTTCAAGGGGCTTGGGAAATGTATGTACCCTTGAACCCAGTAATTTCCATTTTAATACCCCAATTATAAGGAAATAATTAGGAATTGGATAGGCAGAACATATTTATTAATATTTATATTACTATTTATTAAAGCATTATTTGTAGTAGTTAAAATTTTGAAGCAGTGCCCAAATATAAGAGAATAAAAATAAATTAGAATGTACTTACTTGTAAACAGAATATTATTTAGCTATTCAAACAATGCTCATATAGAGTTTTTAATGGCATGCTCATGGAATACTGTTTAGTGAAAACAAGTATACAGAATCATATAAAAGATGTAAAAGTATGTTTAAAACTGGAAAGAGATATATCAACCTTAGCAGTGTTTATATATGGATGGAGAAGTTATGGGCTACTTAAATGTTATATCTTTTTATAGTTTTCAACTATTCTAAAATGAAGCATGTATTCTTATATTATCAGAAGATTATAAATAGCCATTGTTTTGATTGATTTTGAGGCAGGGTGTTACTCTGTTGCTCAGGGTGTAGCAATCATGGCTCACTGCAGCCTCAAATGCTTGGGCTCTAGCGATCCTCCTGCTTTAGCCTTCCCAGTAGTGGGGACTACAGGTAGGTGCCACCAAGCCTGGCTAATTTTGTTGTTGTTGTTGTTTTGTTTTGTTGTTGTTGTTAGAGATGGGTCTTTGTTGCCCAGGCCTTTTGTTTTATTTTTAAATGAAATTCTCCAGAGTTTACAAACCAATGAAATGAATTTTTTCCTCTTCATTTTATCAGCCATATCCTGTTGTTCATCAAACCTTTTAGAACTTGTCACTTCGAAATTGTTTTCTGCTTCCCACTTGGATTGTATTCCTACTGTTACTGTTTAGTTTGGGCCTTCATCAGTTCAAATCAAAATTATTTACAGCAATTTTCCTTCTTTCTTGGCTGCTTTTAATTAGATCTTCCTTGTTACTGTCTACACTACCACCAGAGCATAGCTTCTTAATCTTTTTAGGGCAGTAGTCCAGAATCCCTCTTTTGCTTATTGCCTCAAGTCTGAACCCATTGATCTGACTTTGTGCCTTCCATTAGTTGGTCTCATTTTGTTTACTTGGTTTTCTTTTTTGAACTCCTTTTCTATCAGCCCATACCACCTTTCATTGTCTTCTGTAGCTTCCGCTGGCACTAGGGTCTCACTGAGATCTTACCCCTGTTACTGTAACACAGAAAGACTTGGCAATGTTTGGAGACGTTTTTGATTGTCACACCCCAAGCTGGGAAGTATAGAGAGATGCCACTGGTATCTAATAATTGGTGGAGACCAGGGATGTTGCTAAACATCCTAAAATGCAGAGACATTCCTCCACAGCAAGGAGAATTATCTGGCCCAAAAGTCAATAGTGCAGAGGTTGAAAAACCCTGCCAGTGTAACAGGCTGTAACCGACTGCTGAAAATTCAGCAGCTACTTACTGTTTCATATAATTTAATCATGGTTCCCAGTTTCAATGTAGTGCTAAGTGAACACATTCAATAGGACTTCAATGCATAATTATTCATTCGTTTTATGAATGTATGATTTCCCCCTCCTCAGGACCTGTTACTATGACTAGTGTACACCCCCCAATACGTTCACCTAGTGCCTCCAGCGTTGGAAGCCGAGGAAGGTAAACTGACTAAACCATATTTTCTAGTACATAAAATCTCTAATTAGATTTCTCTTGCCAGTGTTCAACATGTTTTGATACTCAATATATTTTGAACAATTTCCTTTATCTTTAATTAAAATTTTAATAAATTAGTTAAGGGATTAACAAAAGTACAAATTTACCTTTGAAGATAGAAGAATATTTGTCTATATGTTGAAAATAAGAAATGTTTGATATTCATATAATAGCAAAGAAAACATAAAAATGAATAGGTATAACACAGTACACTATATAGAAACACAAACTTAGGGAAAAGATAAAATTTTATGCTAATTTGATCTCTAATGACTAAATATTGATTCTACTTTAAAATAAATGAATATACAGTTATTGAAATTCTATTTTAAGCAACTGCCCTCCTCTTCCCTGCTTTATGCCTGAAAATTCCTCCTAGTGAACCCAGTTCTTACTTTCTTAATCATATGGAAGAATTGTCTGAGGGAGAAAAGTTTGCCTTTAATCCCATGAGAACATAGTAAATATCTGTAAAAGGTTTTTGTCCCACTACCTTCTTTAAATAGCATTGTTTAAATAAATGGTTATTTCATTGTCTTCACCAAAGTATTACTTTGCTACTGACTAGAGAAGGAAATGAGAAAGTCTAAAATCAGATGCCAGTTCTAAGATACTAAATCTGGTTGCCTAATTGTAAAGCCTCAGGTTTTTAAAAGTTTAGGTTTATTGAAACATCTTTCCAGATATATAACTATTTAGATAGGTTAATATGTAAAACATTTTTATCATAAATGAAACTTGCATATAGCAGTTTCGTTAGGCATCATTAATTGCCGATGTAACATACTTACTGTTGTGAGGATACAGTATTATTTTAGAAAGTTGTTGTTATACTTTTTATGAGGTATTCAGCTTAACATTCTTAGATTGCTTTTTCTTCTCTCTCATACTTACAGCTCTGGCTCTTCCAGCAAACCAGCAGGAGCTGACTCTACACACAAAGTCCCAGTGGTCATGTTGGAGCCAATTCGAATAAAACAAGAAAACAGTGGACCACCAGAAAATTATGATTTCCCTGTTGTTATAGTGAAGCAAGAGTCAGATGAAGAATCTAGGCCTCAAAATGTAATTATGAATACTTGCAATATTATTCCTATGCATGGTGGGTAGGGTGAGAGAAACTTCTAAATAGCTCTTAGGAGTTTTTTCTTTAATGTTATATTTAAAGGGATTTAAAGACAATTTGAGGGAATCTCTCAGTAAATTAAACAAAAAGACAAAGATGGAAAAACAGGAAAGTTTTAAAAAATCAGAGGCTCAAATATGGAGACTGGGCAGCTAAAAAGAGATATTCTCTAACCAGAGTTTTATACCCAGGCAAATTATCAGACATGAAGATTAAACATTTTTGTGCAAGTTCTCAAAATAATTCTTAAGTACTTATTCTCAGGAAGATATTTGATAATATGTATCATCAAAAATATAGTAAAACAAGAAAGAAGAAGATACAAGATTCCAAAAATGGAATCTGACACAGAAGAAAAAGGCAACCCACAGTACAGCAGCAGCAGCTTGTGCAGTAGTCTCTAGCAGGAAGACATAGGACTCCAAAGGGAGAAAAATGCTTCAACAGTATTGAGAATTTCCTGCTGGAGATTGTGAGAATCACATAGAAATAGGTACCTGAAAAAATAAGGTAATTACAGAGTCTTAGTAAAAACAAAAAGTTGTACAAAAAGAAATGTCATAGTACATTTTGTGGGTCTACAGTGAACAATATTTACATAATAATGATATAAAGAAACACCTGAGTACAAATGTAATGAAAAACTGTGACGCAATCAGGATATAACCTAAATATGTATGCATTTAACCAAAAATTGTGATTTTCAGAATACTTAACCAGTACAGACAAATACTAATCAGTTGGAATAGATACTGGCAATAAATAGTTACACCGGTACCTACCAACTAAAAAAAGCAATGCTTAATAAAAACTAAGTTAAAGGGATGAGGTGAATGGTGGTGGTGGTTTTGTGTGTGTCTGAATGGAAGGACAGGGTTGGAGAGTCAGGATGTAAAAACCTAATCTCCTGATCTTCACTAGCAAGGATTATAGATGTATTGCAATCTTTAACAGTCATTTTATTTAGAAATATGGAGGTAGATGGCAGAAGAAAAAGCTAGGTTTGAAAACAGTACTTCTAAGGAATGAGTGCTTTTAACTATATCTACATTTATTACCTTGAAGTTTTTGAAAACATTTGAAGGAGACTGTTCTTGTTATAGATTTGAAATTTTTACCATCCTGGGCTTCAACAGAAAGTTTAGCTTCATCTTACAATTTGTGTATCTTAGGTATAATTTGAATGAACAGCTCCAGTGAGGTGTATATATAGGTCATGTGACTGACTTCCACACTACCCAACCCATTCTCTAATTTCTGTAGCCATCCCCAGACTCAGATTTTTTTTCTCTATTTTGATATTTTTCAGTAGAGGTCCATGTCTTCTATACCAGTTAGCAGTAAACATATACTGTTCTCATGAAGATTCCTTTGAAGCAGCCAGGTGCTCACTAGAGAGTGGTCCTACAGCTCAGAATTGCATTAGTGATAAAATTTTTTAAACACCAGTTAAATATATATTTTTTCTACTACAGGCCAATTATCCAAGAAGCATACTCACCTCCCTGCTCTTAAATAGCAGTCAGAGCTCTACTTCTGAGGAGACTGTGCTAAGATCAGATGCCCCTGATAGTACAGGAGATCAACCTGGACTTCACCAGGAGAATTCCTCAAATGGAAAGTCTGAGTGGCTGGATCCTTCCCAGAAGTCACCCCTTCATGTTGGAGAGACAAGGAAAGAGGATGACCCCAATGAGGACTGGTGTGCAGTTTGTCAAAACGGAGGGGAACTCCTCTGCTGTGAAAAGTGCCCCAAAGTATTCCATCTTTCTTGTCATGTGCCCACATTGACAAATTTTCCAAGGTAAGATAGTACTTCCCTTCCCACATTCTTTTACTCTAAACTTCTGAAGATTACTTAAATGAAATTCTACTTGGCACAAATGTATACTCCAAAATCCCAGTGAATAGTCTAGGTTTTCCCATACCTTTCCGCTTATTCCTTGTGCTTCTTTCAAGAAATTAATCATTCAGCCTGAGCAACACAGGGAGACCCTGTCTCTACAAATTAAAAAATTAGCCAGGTGTGGTAGTGCATGCCTATAGTCCCAACCACTCAGGTGGCTAAGGTGGGAGGATTGGTTGAGCCTGAGAGGTCAAGGCTGCAGTAAGCTGTGATTGCACCACTGCACTCCAGACTGGGCAACAGAGCAAGACCCTCTCCCTAGTCATTATAAAAAGAAAATAAATAACAGGCCCTTTAAATTATCACAAGGTGTCACCATAAGGAACAATGTCCTTAGGCATAACAGCTACCAGTTTATTATGTCTTTTTTCCAGGCATCAAACTGTATCATTTACAAGTATTTCAAGTAAATTCTCAAACCCTATGGGGATGATGATCATCATCCTGACCAAGATGGTTAAGAGCCATTGGGTTGATCTCTCAGTTCTTGGAAGGCTATACTTTTGAAAATTTAATTTTATAAACTTAGAGTAACAAGAACAGTACAAAGAGCTTTTCTGATTTCTGAATCCTTTGGAGGAAAAAAATTCAATTATGCCCTAGATATGTGAGCCCTAGATTAATGTGTTAATTTGTCTAGGTGGTTTTTGTTGTTGTTGTTTTCTTTTTCATATATGTATCTCACACCTTCTTAACTAGATTTTGATGTTAGGCCCTTGCATTATATTTCTGCTGTTTCCTGTCAGCATGGTGCAGTATACCTAGTGGTATGTGGTAAATGCTGAGTGATAAAATTCATGCCAAATAAACAATTCTGTATCATAGATGTCATGGAGGAGGTGGGAAAGGGAAATAGTGAAGAGAGGAAATGATGCATTAGAAATTCAAAAGTACATTGTCCCCCTACAGTGGAGAGTGGATTTGTACTTTCTGCCGAGACTTATCTAAACCAGAAGTTGAATATGATTGTGATGCTCCCAGTCACAACTCAGAAAAAAAGAAAACTGAAGGCCTTGTTAAATTAACACCTATAGATAAAAGGGTAAGTCTTTGAGCATTTCCAACCTAGCATGTTAGACAATTTTTTGGTAAGATGCATTATTGTACTGTGGTGCCTTTCATCAGAGGGGTGTATATCCATCCAGATTTTATACTGATCCTTTTTATTTAGGAGTATTTTTTTTTTTTACAAAGGTATAACTTTCTTTAAATTAAAAAAAAGTCACAGAATTTTGTGTGTGTTTTATAGAAGCTTATTGTACCTGAACAAGATGGAGTATGTAGCCTAGACTTTTAAATTTAATCTACCTTAAGTAAATTTCTATTTTGTTTTATTTCTACCATAGATAAGTTTTTTCCTCAGAATTGCCACCAAGGGAGCTGGGTTTTTTCTTTACTCTTCCTGGAAATAATTCTTTTTTTTTAACCGAATGGGACTAGACTTATGCATCAAAGCCAACTGATACATTTAACTGTAAATAACATTTACAGCTACCAAGTCAACACTTTGTTACCAAAAAAACGCCTTTGCGGCCGGGCGCGGTGGCTCACGCCTGTAATCCCAGCACTTTGGGAGGCCGAGGCGGGCGGATCACAAGGTCAGGAGATCGAGACCATGGTGAAACCCTGTCTCTATTAAAAATAGAAAAAAATTAGCCGGGCGCAGTGGCGGGCGCCTGTAGTCCCAGCTACTCAGGAGGCTGAGGCCGGAGAATGGCGTGAACCCGGGAGGCGGAGCTTGCAGTGAGCCGAGATTGCGCCACTGCACTCCAGCCTGGGCGACAGAGTGAGACTCCGTCTCAAAAAAAAAAAAAAAACGCCTTTGCTAAATTATTAAATAGAACAATCAATATGAAAGTTGTCATGCAAGAGGGGACGTGCCCATTCACTGCCAGTACTACTCAGTGGTTACTGGGATAAACCCATAAGCAGGAAAGTATGAATAGCAGAGCACATGGTTGGACCTTCTGCATGCAGAGAGGTGCCTTAGGTCTGTATGCACATTGAGAAGGTCCACCTCCAGTTCTCCTGAGAGACATATGTTCTTCCTTTATGGAGTATAATTAATTTATAATACACAGACTGGAGCAATAAGTGCAAATTTATTGTTAGAAAACTTCAAATGGGTTTCTAGTGATTGTCAGTTCATTCAATTACAGGGCCTGCTCCCAAATATCATATATACCCTAAATTGTCAAGTAGTACAGTTCAGTTAATGATTGGGAAGGAGAACAAAACTCCAAGAATCAATAATTTTTTTGTATTTATCTGAGTTTAAATTTTTAGTCTGATACTTTGGAACCTCTGAGATTGTTATTTAAAATAAGCTGTGAATTCATTGTTTTATAATATTTTATCTGTTTTTATTTATTTTTGCTTAGAAGTGTGAACGCCTACTTTTATTTCTTTACTGCCACGAAATGAGCCTGGCTTTTCAAGACCCTGTTCCTCTAACTGTAAGTATTAATGTCATTTTGTGCATGTTTACACAGTGGAATGCTTTTCTGGAATTTTTATTTATGAGAATCTAGCTTATATACCATTTTCTAGTATTTTTTAATCTAAACCTTAAATCTTAATAATACATACTGAATGCTTTGATTCTATATAGGTACATTTTTAGTAAGTGGCCCAAAACTTGTGTTCATTTCTCAGGTATTCTTTCGTCTTTTCTCGTCTATTTTACTTAGTACTGGGGTGTTTGGGGTGATTTCTGTTAATTGTCTGTATCTCAGGAGTTTTAGGCATGTTTCCAAAGCTGTTGGGAAAAAACTTTGTTTGAAATAAAGACATCTCTCCCTGCTAAATTTTCCGTACTTATTTTTATTTATAGGTCCAGACTTCAAGTAAATAAGTAGACTTTACCAATACAAAAAAGTTGAGGTTCATATTGAAAGTTTGATGTGACTTTAATGCATAATTTTAGGGTGCTGGAGAGGGCCTGGTACCCCAAAAAAGTATTCTAATGTCTGAACCCAGGAGGCGGAGGTTGCAGTGAGCTGAGATCACGCCATTGCACTCCAGCCTGGGCAACAAGAGCAAAACTCTTGTCTCCAAAAAAAAAAAAAAAATTTAATTTGTTCTATAGTTTGATAAATCTCAGATTAGTACAAAGTTAGAAGAGTATCAGCTTAGTAAATACATTCAGCTGATAAACAGCTTCTTTCTTAAGAACAGGTTTGGAGAACCTGATATAGGAAATAAATACTTCCAGGGAGAAGGCTCTTTTGTACCCAAAAGAGGCAGGGTATTGAATTGTGCTTCTGTTATCCTGGCTTAGAGTTACGTTATTAATATCAACAGCACTGACAAAGTAGCCCCCTTTTTCTTAATGAATATCATCTCATTTAGTCTGTACAAAATGTTGTGAGCTTGGCAGGATTATTCCTATCTGGAATATGAAGAAACTGAGGTTAAGTAACTTACCCAGGACTGTGATACTGAGCAGCAGAGCTGGGGATTAAACCCAGATTCGAAGTCCTTCCTCTTTACCACATGTTATATAAATACATGCAGCAAAAACATGTCAGATTCTACTAGAAATGATATTATTTCTAGTAATTGCTTTTTGTTTAATAATGAAAGAAAATCTAGATGATTTAAGAGGGAATATGTGAAGACAAGTTTTTTCATTAAAAATAATTGGGACTGGGTGCAGTCGCTCATGCCTGTAATCCCAGCACTTTGGGAGGCAGATTGCTTGAACCCAGGAGTTTGAGACCAGCCTGGGCAACATGGCAAAACCCCATCTCTATAAAAAATACAAAAATTAGCCAGCTACGTTAGCACATGCCTGTAGCCCCAGCTACACGAGAGGCTGAGGTGAGAGGATCACTTAAGCCCAGGAGGCAAAGTGCAGTGAGCCGAGATTGTGTCATTGCACTCCAGCCTGGGTGACAGAGCAAGACCCTGTCTCAAAAACAATAATTGGTTAAACTTCTTGGAAAAAGTAACACAAACCTTTACCAGTATGTATGTGGAAGGCAGTGGGCACTTGTAAACACTGTTAAATGGGTTTCTTTACTAATGACAGATAGCACAGAGAAAAGCAATGAGAACATTCTGAATTTTAGAGCACATCTCATAGAATATATTTAGGACAAGGTAGAATTTAGCTATTTATATTATAACATCTCATTTTTTTTTAAAGGTGCCTGATTATTACAAAATAATTAAAAATCCAATGGATTTGTCAACCATCAAGAAAAGACTACAAGAAGATTATTCCATGTACTCAAAACCTGAAGATTTTGTAGCTGATTTTAGATTGATCTTTCAAAACTGTGCTGAATTCAATGAGGTGAGGCTAGGGGAGAGGAGGGGCAGGAAGGAATAGCAGTGTGAAAATCATTTTATACTAAACACCGTGTCAACATAGGAGACCAAGATGTCTGAGTTAGAAAAAATTTCCAACTTTTCAGATCAGGGAATGCAGGAGAGAATTCAGATAACTCTATCCACATTTATATTCAAAGGTTTATTAGATGGTGATGGAAATGTAAATTGCAGCTGATAATGGAAAGACAAAATATTTTTCTCTGACCTAAAATTATTCTTTATCATTCCCACCTTTATTTCTTATTTTTATGTTGATCTTGAAATATTAAGGATGTGGGCCAAATAGCTCTAATTTAAAAATTTCTCATCTGTCAGTTCATCTAAACATCTGTCAGACTTAGGACCTTTTGCTGCTAGGTGGTTTGTTCTCTGTTACTCATTGTAAGAGTACTACATTTAATTTGTTCTAAAAATACCTGGTTCATGATCCTATGGTTATGGAATCCTAACTGATATATCTTTGGCAATACAGTCCTACCATTACCACCTTCTTTTAGAATAATCCAGTCTTTTACTTTTTTCCACACTTATGAATCTTTTATTTTAGCTGGCCTTCTGTACAGAGACTTTGTCTAGTCCTAGACTATTATTTATTTCAATGACTATGCATGAACATTTTTCAAAACAGCGCATTAATATATATAATCTCACAAGTCAAAAATGTGTCCTTTCTTTACTCATATTTTTATTTTTACTCAACAGCCTGATTCAGAAGTAGCCAATGCTGGTATAAAACTTGAAAATTATTTTGAAGAACTTCTAAAGAACCTCTATCCAGAAAAAAGGTTTCCCAAACCAGAATTCAGGAATGAATCTGAAGATAATAAATTTAGTGATGATTCAGATGATGACTTTGTTCAGCCCCGGAAGAAACGCCTCAAAAGCATTGAAGAACGCCAGTTGCTTAAATAATATGCAGCACCACTAGCTTGTGCTGGTTTTTAGATTTTTTTTGTTTTCAAAAAAAACATTTGTCAGTAATTTAACATCACTACAAAGAAGAGTTTGTGACTACTCTGATCTCTGTTTTGGACGTTTACTAGACTTTGATTTCCTTAATAGCCCATTTCTGTTAACCTCTTATCACTAAGAAAGAAGGAGATGAATGGAAGAAAGAAAATGGAAAGAAGGAAAAAAGGATGGAAGAAAAAAGGATGGAAGAAAGAAGCATTGAAAACAAAGACATTCTTCCCCCTTCTTGGATTTTTAAACCACAATCTGGAGCGATAGCTGCTGTAGAAAGGAAATAGACTTTGTATGAACTCTTCAGTTGAAAAGTATACGTGGTTTGGATGTGTGCATTAATTCAGTTTTAGAAATTAATACCACTACCCATGAATTATATGGCCTGACAATGTGAGTTAGGTGTACTGTACTAAAGAACAGTACTCCGCAAACAAGGGTGGTAACAAGAGTTCCATCCCCAGAGGCCAAATGGTGCAACAGAAGGGTAGGTTAGATGCTATTAAGAAGGCACCTAATAGTACATCATGTAAGATGGCAACTGTATTAAAGAAAAATCCGGAAAACAAATGTTTGTTTGATTTTTTTTTTGTTTTTATCTTGTCTGTAGAGGTGTTTGGTATAGCAGGTTTTCAAAGCCACTTTTTATACATTTCTAGATCTAGATTTTCAACTTCTTCCACTGAGGGAAGTATACACATTTGGTTTTGCTGTGTGTCTATGTGAGGTTTAACTGTACAGGTGATCCTTTTACAACAAGCCTCATTGTTTGCAGTATAGCTGTTAGTGGAACTATCCAAAATATAAATACAGCAGCGTGCACTGTATTTGATGTGAGGTTTCTTCATCTACTGGGCATTAAATATAAGTTCCTCTGAAAGGGACTCGTTTTTGTGGTTTTCATCTGTCTGTAATTTGGAATGAAAATGTGTTGTGGGATTGGGAGCAGGCAGTTGGGGGGAATTAATAGTGATTTTTTTTCCCTGAAGCATCTAATGTTTTTCTTTCGAGAGTCAGAACATCAAATTTAATCTTTGATCTGACTTCTGATTTTATTCTCCTGATAGAGATACAAAAGACCTATCTTCTGAGGACAAGCATATTCTTAATGTGCCAGACCTACCCGGTTCAACTGATCTAGATAGAAGAAAATTGCTGTGCCACTAATCCAGCATTTGACACAATACCTAAATGGTTTGCCGAAGTTCATCTTAATTTATAAAACATTAACTGGAGTAAATTTTTCTCCTTAGGATGATACAATAAAAAGAGCTGACTTTAAAGAAGGCTATTATTTGCATTATATCACCTCCCATAAATTTAACATAGAAGACTTGGTTTTATCTACATGGCTTTACTTCTTGAAGTGGAAAATACCCTGTGGCTAATTCATTGGGTTTTCAGGTATTGCTAAAGATAAAATATAGGGAGAAAATAACTTGTTAGCAATAGCTTCCCGTTGTTTATATATAGGTCTTGTTCATAATATGTCAATTACGTATTGTTAAAAAGTCCTAATCGCTTTTCCAAATATGTGTTACATGGTAATGTTTGTCATTGTTGTTTTAAAGTTGCATTTGACATTTGTTCTCCAAAGAGTGTTTGAACAGATTTTGATAACAGTGCACACACCTTTTGTCTTTTTTGGCTCCAGCATTTTATTTTTAGCACAGCAGCTGTGGAGCTTTTGCTAATTATTTTATTATTGGTATCTTAGAATACTGTTCGTCTGACAGTTTATTCTTCCATACTTGTCTCCCGAGTTAAAACAGTTATTTAACAACACAGTTAAATTATTTTGAGAATCATTACAAAAGGGAGTTAGAACTTGTCAGAGTAAAACTGTAATTTCCTAAATGTGACTAATGAACCCCCAACTGTCACTATTACATTCAGTGCCATATTTATCTTTCAAAACAGTATTTGTTTCACCCTAACCATCTTTGGCTGAATGAAAGGCAGTTGAGAACCATCTTTTCGTCATACATAATATATTAAAATATAATTATATTTAAAGTAAAGGTCTTGGGGCCGGGCACAGTGGCTCACGCTTGTAATCCCACCAGCACTTTGGGAGGCCAAGGTGGGCGGATCACAAAGTCAAGAGTTTGAGATCAGCCTGGCCAACATGGTGAAACCCCCGCTCTACAAAAAATACAAAAATTAGCCGGGGATGGTGGCATGCACCTGTAATCCAAACTACTCAGGAGGCTGAGACAGGAGAATCATTTGAACCCAGGAGGCAGAAGTTGCAGTGAGCCAAGATCTCACCATTGCACTCCAACCTAAGTGAGAGACTCAGTCTCAAAAACAAAAAGTAAAAGTCTTGGGTTTCTCTCTGTAAATAGCCCTTGTGTAATGGTCTTTAGATTAATATCCTTTGACTTTATTAATAAGTACCTGTGTGCCCAGGTGGATCTAAGTCATCCTTAAATTCAAATAGAAATAAACTATAAAATGAGCCTAACTATAACCTACACTCATTTATCAAGCATTCCCCCAAAAGTTCAGTGCGATTCAGGTACCCTTGACCTAAACTTGTACACTCCAATGTACATCTTTGATAAACTCTGGAAGATTTCCCTCTGGATTTGGGATCAGGAGCCCAGTGGGCCCCCATTGCTAAATGTTTACCACACCTTTGGCTAGGGCTTATGGATGAGCAGACTACGTGGAAGCTAGGATTTACTCAGTTCCACCTCACTGACAGCTTTTCTAGGGGCCAAGCAACTGACTTTCCTGCGTAAGGAAGCCCAAGTACTCGACCAGTGACATATATGGCCATTTGACAAAAGTATAAATGGATGGATGTAGACCATATTGAATGTAGAATACATTTTAGATCAGTATCTGGCATTGCAATCATTTTGCCTTTTGAATTAACATGCCCTGCTTGTCTTTTCTGAATGGAAGGGTAGGAAAGTAGAAGGTACTAAAAAGGAAATGTAGTTTCTTTTCTAAGCTAAAGAACTGGCTTTACTACTACTATATTTTACTACCACACAGTAGTGTAGATGTAGTATAACTTGGTTAGGAATGTTTTCCCAAAGGTTACCTCCATAGTCAAAAGGGTGAGTATACAGCTGATTATTCCATTTATGAAACTGCATTTCAATATCCTATGCTGCTACTGTGCTTAGACACTTAGTTACATTTGAGTTCCAAGGAGAGAGAGTGAGAACAGGAACTCCTCTTGCTGAGCTCTGGTCCAAATTAATGTGAATGCCAAAAGTAAATTGCTGCATATGAATAAAAGGTTTTAGGTTTAAATTGAAGATATATTCATTTTAAGGTTTATATGTATTGGTTGTGAATGAGAGAAATTGAGTGATCTGATTGGCCATTAAAATTACGGTAAACGGGCCAGGTGCAGTGGCTCATGCCTGTAATCCTAGCAGTTTGGGAGACCGAGGTGGGTAGATCACCTGAGGTCAGGAGTTCAAGACCAGCCTGACCAACATGGTGAAACGCCATCTCTACTAAAAATAACAAAAATCACCCAGGTGTGGTGGCACATACCTGTAATCCTAGCTGCTCAGGAGGCTGAGGCAGGAGAATCAGCTTGAACCCAGGAGGCAGAGGTTGCAGTGAGCTGAGATCACACCATTGAACTCCAGCATGGGCGTCAGAGCAAGACTGTCACAAAAAAAATTATGGGGAAAGGCCGCGCGGTGGCTCATGCCTGTAATCCCAGCACTTTGGGAGGCCGAGGCTGGTGGATCACCTGAAGTCAGGAGTTGAAGACCAGCCTGGCCAACATGGTGAAACCCCGCCTCAACGAATATACAAGAAAATTAGCTGGGCATGGTGGTGGGTGCCTGTAATCTCAGCTACTTTGGGAGGCTGAGGCAGGAGAACCACTTGAACCCAGGAGGTGGAGGTTGCCGTAAGCCGAGATCACACCATTGCACTCCAGCCTGGGCAACAAAAGCGAAACTCTGTCTCAAACAAAAAAAAGAAAAGAAAAAGAAATTATGGTGACCACGCGTTCAACCATCTGATTTCTTACTGAAATTGAGCTCCTCCTTTTAAATAACCATTTATATATTTTTAAAAGTATTTTATAGCCCTATGTAAATTAATAGTTGATGTCTTTTTATAAATGTTTATTGCATATTCATCTTGAATGTGAATTTACTGTTGTAATTCACATACTGGTGTTATGTTTCTGAGTGAGAATAATGCTAGCCAATCAGATCACAGATTTTTCCCCATGAAGGTTTTACTTATTGAGAGGGACATCTGAGGTGGTAGTCTTCATTTTTAATTTTTGGGGGCAGATTGGTGCTTTGGTTTTAATAAAAATTAACTTTGATGGATTTTTACTGTCAATATTTTACCACAAGGATCTTTTAATGGAAAAATTACTGAATATTACTTCAGCAGAGTTCTAACTTCTTTGAGCCTCCGTTACTACTCCTGTTGTTCCCCTGGCTGTAACACTGATACATATAGGGGCAAGCTACTAGTCCATAAATAGCTGTAATAGGAAAACAGTTTTTTAAAATTCTAACACATGTATTTCACCAGCCTTAAAAGATTTTTTAAAAATTGACAGGAAGGAAAGCAGGTGGTAAATATATTGGATTATTCTGCCTCATACCAGCCACTCCCAAACTAGAACCAAAGATGCCATGAAAACTTCTACTTGTCTGGAAGTTATTTGGGGAAGGAGGGAAAGACACAGAGTGGGGACTTTTGGGAGTCACTTAAAAAATTTAGCTATGTTAATTCCACTTGTAAAGTTTGAAAGGTTTTGATTCTCATAATTTCTGAGAATTACTATGTTTTAAATTTACTATTGGATATTTAACAGATCTTTCATGGGGCCAACCTATTTGCTTCCTTAATTTTCAAATTAAGTCCTAATTTGAGTCCTAAAAAAATCTTTCCTTGTTAGTTGCAAGTTAAACATTTAATAAAATTATTTTCCCATGTTTCCACATGTGGTATGGAATAAAGGCTGTTTTAACATTCCCTGCAAGATACTTGGGAATATGGATTCTTTGCCTATGTACTAATGCCTTTAACCCCAAGATAACTGAACCAGAAAATTCAGTCAGGAATCTTTCCATTGCAGATGACTGAATCCCAATTGCCATTGCTTTGAGGGAGAGGATAGAATATACAGATCAACCAGAGTTAAGCCCTCCTCACCTTTTAAATGAAAATGTACTGACCTAAGAAGTGGCATTTCTCCAAGGAAAAATCAGGGTGTTCTCTATTATTATTATTTTTTTTTTAGGCAGGGTCTCCCTCTGTCATCCAGGCAGGAGTGCAGTGGGACCATCATGGCTCATTGCAGCCTCCATCTCCTGGGTTCTGGCGATCCTCCTGCCTCAGCCTCCCAAAGTGCTGGGATTACAGGCATGAGCCATCGCATTCAGCCCAGGGTGTTCTTAACAAGAAGCAAAAACAAACTAGGCCACCAAGTACCAGACTTTGACGGTGATGCTGGTTTATCTGACTGGTCCTTTTAGGGATTTACTAATGAGGTTGTATGTTAAGAAAACCCAAGGTACAAACAGTTCAAAATAAATATTTTGGCATTCATATTATAAAAGTTTTTGCAAAATTTCAGGCCAATATTCCTAATGAACAGAAGTGTGAAAATCCTCAGTAAAATACTGGCAAACCGAATCCAACAGTACATCAAAAAGCTTACCCACCACCATCAAGTCAGCGTCATCCCTGGGATGCAAGACTGGTTCAACATACGCAAATCAATAAACGTAATCCAGCATATAAACAGAACCAAAGACAAAAACCACATGATTATCTCAATAGATGCAGAAAAGGCCTTCAACAAAATTCACCAGCCCTTTATGATAAAAACTCTAGGTACTGATGAAACATTTCAAAATAAAAGCTATTTATGACAAACCCACAGCCAATATACTGAATGGGCAAAAACTGGAAGCATTCCCTTTGAAAATGCCCAAGAAAAGGATGCCCTCTCACCACTCCTATTCAACATAGTATTGGAAGTTCTGGCCAGGGCAACCAGGCAAGAGAAAGAAAGAAAGGGTATTCAATTAGGAAAAGAGTAAGTCAAGTTGTCTCTGCAGATTGTCATGATTGTGTATTTAGAAAACCTCATCGTCTCAACCCCAAATCTCCTTAAGCTGATAAGCAACTTCAGCAAAGTCTAAGGATACAAAATCAATCTACAAAAATTACAAGCATTCCTATACACCAATAACGACAAACAGCACCAAATCATGAGTGAACTCCCATTCACAATTGCTACAAAGAGAATAAAATACCTAGGAATACAACTTACAAGCCATTACAGACTGCTTTAAAGAGACTCTAGAAGGCTGAACAGCAATTAAGAGAAAAAACATAAATGCATAAACGCATAAACCTTAGTTGCTTTCTACAGCATACATAACCTTAAGAGTTTAGTGTGCACAGGTGTGATGTCTTGCATGCATGGAATGGTTTCAAAACAAATAGCATGTAAGTAGAGGCATAAAACAGATTGCGGTTTCAGTTCCAGACCACTGCAATAAAGCAAATATCACAATAAAAATGGTCACAAATAGTTTGGTTTCCCAGTGCTTATAAAAGTTATGTTTATACTGTAGTCTATTAAGTGTGCAATAGCATTATATCTAAAAATCTACATACCTTAATTTTCTTTCACCAAATAGCTTCTCACATATCTTAATTTTGAAATAATTCATTACGGAGAAGTACAATCATCTAAGCCTTCAGCACGTCAATCTTTTGCTGATGGAGAGTCTAGCCTCAATATGGATGGCTGCTGACCGTTCAGAGTAGCAGTTGCTGAGGGCTGGGGTGGCTGTGGCAATTTCTTAATGAAGTTTGCCGCATCAATGGACTCTTCCTTTTATGAAAGATTTCTCTGTAGCACATGATGCTGTTTGATAGTATTTGACCCACAGTAGAACATCTTTCAGAATTAGAGTCAATCTTCTCAAACTCTGCCACTGCTTTATCAACTAAGTTCATATAATATTCTAAATCCTTTGTTGTCATTTCAACAATGGTCACAGCATCTTCACCAGGAGTAGACTCAACCTCAAGAAACCACTTTCTTTGCTCATCCACAAGAAGCAAGTCCTCATCTGTTCAAGTTTGAGATTACAGCAATTCAGTCACATCTTCAGTCTCCACTTCTAGTTCTCTTGGTATTCCTGTCACATCTATAGTACCTTTTTTCACTGAAATCTTGAACCCCTAAAAGTCATTTGTGAAGGTTCAAATCAATGTCTTTCTCACTCCTGAGTTATTCTGACTCTTCCCGTGAATCACAGATGTTCTTAATGGCATCTAGAATGGTGAATTGTTTCCGGAAGGTTTTCTGTTTACTTTGCCCAGATTCATCAGTGGAATCACTATCTGTGGCAGCTATAGCTTTATGAAATATATTTCTTAAATAATAAGACTTGAAAGTCAAATTTACTTCTTGATCTATGGTCTACAGACTGTGTGTTTTGTTAACAGACATTAAATTATCGAGATCTTAGGTGACTAGGTGCAATGTCAGTGAGCAGTAATGTTTTACACGAAGTCCTTTTTTTGAACGATAGGTCTCAAAAAATGGGCTTAAAAAATTCACCATGCCGTAAACAGATAATTCCATCATCTAAGCATTGTTCTACGTATAAAGTACAGGCAGAGTAGATTTAGCGTAATTCTTAAGGGCCCTCGAATTTTGAGGTCAATGAGCATTGGCTGCACCAGCTGCATTAGTCCCTAACAAGAGAGTCAGCCTATTCTTTGAAGCCAAGCATTAACTTGTAACTATAAAGTCCTAGTTGGCATCTTCTTCCAATAGAAGGCTATTTTATCGACACAAAAATCTGTTTAGTGTAACTACCATCAGTGATTTTAGCTAGATCTAAATAACTTGCTGTAGTGTCTCCATTAGCACTTGCTGCTTCACCTTGCACTTGCCTTCACAGAGAGGTAGGGTCTTGCTCTATGTTAGGTTTTGGCTTAAGGGATTGTTGTGAATAGTTTGATCTATCCAGACCAAACTTTCTCCACATTAGCAATAAGGCTGTTGTGCTTTCTTATCATTCGTGCATTTTACTAAACCAGACCCTTCAAGAACTTTGTGCATGCACAACTTGGCTGTTTGGCATAAGAGGCCTAGCTTCGAGCTTGTAGCTTTCAACATACCTTCCTCACTAAGCTTCATCATTTGTAGCTTTTGATTTAAAATCAGAAATGTGCGAGTATTCCTTTCACTTGAACATTTACAGGCTATTGTAGAGTTATTTGGCCTAATTTCAATAGTACTGAGTCTCAGGGGATAGGAAGGCCTAAGGAAAAGGAGAGAGAAGGGGGAACATCCAGTAGGCAGAGCAGTAAGAACACACATGTATCAATTAAGTTTGCCTTCTTACATGAGTGTGGTTAGTGGCACTCTCAAAACAATTACAATAGTAACGTCAAAGATCACCAATCACCACAACAGATGACCAAAATAGGACAGAGATACAGTGAGTACATGCTGTTGGTAACAGTGCAATATATGGAAGCACAATAAAATAGGACAGGCCTGTAATTACATGATGGCGAAAAGCTTGCTGCGTTCTTTAATCAAGAGAATCAAAGACTCCCCCTATAAAAAAATAAAATTAGAGACAGGGAATGTAAGGAGTAAAATTGGTTTATTCCCTGCTTCTTGGTGATTATGTGTAATACTCATTCTAATTTAAGCATTTTATGAATAAGCAATTTTCATCAAACTATGGAGGCTGTAAGTTACATAGGCGAATTTGAATTTGAACTTGATGGCTATTCTAGTTGTTTTGAAAATGATATCATCCCAGGTTCTTGCCTTAGCTACAAAATTTCAGTTCAAGTTTAGCTACAAACCTCATGGGAGAATATCAAATATAAGTTTAAAATTTAGTATTTATTCATATAAAGGTTTACAGACTTGATTTCAAGGAATAAAAGCCATCTTTCCCCCACCATCTCCCTTTCACACCCCTTTGAAAGCTTAAGTTGTATTTTATAAAAGTACTTTATATATTGTCCCTCAAGGAAGAGATCAATATAGAGTTACCTACCCCATTCCCATATATGCCTTTTAAAAAAAAATGACTTTACTAATTACCGAGTAGCATACAGAAGTAAAACCAAGTTTTAAAAAATGCACCGCAGTTCTGAAGATAGAATTCATTTTTCTCATCTGGTAGACAGCTTTGCAGGTCTTCATTTAATTTGCTGGAAGAAAGTTATTTAATAGATCAGTAACAGACTTTTAAAAAGTCTTGTCCATTCATACTCAGCTGATATTTTAGTAATAGAAGATTCTTTAATAAAAAATTATTAGGAGGGAAGATCCTAGCATTTACCTTAGTGTATCTGAAGATATAATGCTAACTTTTTTATTCTAATATAATGCAGATGTCATTTAGAAAAATTCATATTTTATATACATTATATATACATTTATATGTATACATATATATACACATATATATACACGCATGTGTGTGTATACATATATAATTTTTTTTTTTAGAGACAGGGTTTCACCATGTTGGCCGTGCTGGTCTCAAACTCCTGACCTCAGGTGATCCACCTGCCTCAGCCTCCCAAAGTGCTGGGATTACAGTTGTGAGCCACTGCACCTGACCAGTATTCTCTTTCTAGATAGCGTTTTAGATTTTTAGTTTACCAGACTCCTCAAATCAGAGTTTCTTAGAGTAGTTGTAACACAGAATCAACACCACTTTAAAATTATTGACCAGGTTGGTTCATCCAAATTATTAGGATGTTGTCTGTGTGTGTTGTTGGAAGGAAGTTAAGATTTTTGACATGTTCTTATAAACATTTCTAGAAGCTGTATTGGTGTCAGTTAGGTGGTTTCATATGGTAACCACTCAACACTGAAGTAAGGGGAGTGGGTGTGGCTGTGTATTTTAAGATTTTTCCCAAAGACATGTAGCCAGTTAGTGGCAGTCATCAAGGGATACATGCCCAGACAATTGTATGTATTGAACCTACTTGTTTGTTTAAAAGGTTATAAACAATCATGCAGAATCATTTCCCCATAGTGCTAAAACCAAGTCCCAGTCAACAGAAGAGGAAAAGTCTTCTAGGTAGATATGACTTGAATAGGAGGATTCTAGATGCTGAGTCAGGTTTCCACTTATATGTATCATTATTTGCAAAATTAAGTAACACTAAATTCCTATTTCCTTAGTGTTACGGTCTGGTTTAAATTGTAGCCTCACTACAATATTAGTGTGCTCCTTTATACAAGTTGCTCAACTTGTGTCTTAGTTTCCTCATTTGTATAAAAGATCTGATCATCCTTTTGCTTATAATTAAAAGGAAGCATATCGATCATCTAAATCTCTGGCTTTAAGCACTCAGTGACTGGATCACCTTTCCAAGTAAGGAACCTAAACAAAGCCCTAAATTCACAATTACATAATAGATCACCTAATCTGATTAAAATGCAATATTACATTAAAAATAAACTAGCCTTAAAGGTAGGCAAACTAGGCCGGGTGCGGTGACTCACACCTGTAATCCCAGCAATTTAGGAGGCCAAGGCTGGTGGATCTCTTGAGGTCAGGAGTTCGAGACCAGCCTGGCCAACATGGTGAAACCCCATCTCTACTAAAAATACAAAAATTAGCCAGGTGTGGTGGTGGGTGCCTGTAATCCCAGCTACTCGGGAGGCTGAGGCAGGAGAATCACTTGAACTCAGGAGGCAGAGGTCGTAGTGAGCTGAGGTCACACCACTGCACTCCAGCCTGGGCAACAGAATGAGACTCTGTCTCAAAAAAAAGCTTAGTTGTTTTTTTTTTTTTTTTTTTTTTTTTTTGAGACAGAGTCTCATTCTGTCGCCCAGGCTGGAGAGCAGTGGCACGAACTTGGCTCACTGCAACCTCCGCCTCCCAGGTTCAAGAGATTCTCCTGCCTCAGCCTCCCAGTAGCTGGGATTACAGGCATGGCTAATCTTTGTATTTTTAGTAGAGACGGGGTTTCAGCATATTGGCCAGGCTGGTCTCGAACTCCTGACTTCAGATGATCTGCCCACCTCGGCCTCCCAAAGTGCTGGGATTACAGCCGTAAGCCACCGCACCCGGCTGCCTTTTTAATACTCAATAGTGCCTTCCTTGTATCTACTCACAGAAACAAAACATATCAGTATCAAAACAAATATGAATGCATACAAGGTTTACAGTGAGTAGGACGTAGCAGAGAGGGCAAGTTACACTCAGCCACAGAAGCACCATGACTCTACAGCCTCAGGGAGAGGTGGCATCTCAGGGTCAACTAAACTATGTGACCAGTGGCCTAACCCAACCATTCTCCCCCTTCCCCATAAGCACCCACACACGCCCTTGTAAACCAGCTACAAGCTTTGTGTTGAAGACAGGAAGACATCAGACCCACCACCTGTACTTGGAGGTGACCATCCTTCACTGAATCCAACCATAAGGGCAGGGGTAGGAGAGGCCCTCTCTTCAACTTTGAGCCTGGAAGGATGCCTTATACTTTTGAGGTAGGGGTGTGTGTGCGCGTGTGTGTCTGTGTGTGTGTGTGGGGTGTGTGTGTGTGTGTGTGTGTGTGTATATATATATATATATATATTTTTTTTTAATGTACTTTGCAAAATAGAGTGAGCAGTCAGACCTGCTGTTAGTATTGGAAAGCGACTGGCACAACATTGGAGCTTTTGACTCAATTCTTCCCAGAGGCACCAGAGGTAAATGAAGCTGGACCAACACATGAAGACCATGTGACCCCAAGGACAACACAAATAGCTGTTGCAGCTCTGCCAGTCACTTTCAGCTCTGCAGTAAGGCTTATATTCAGATAGAAAAGTGGGAAGGGCAGCTGGGCGCGGTGGCTCACGCCTGTAATCCCAACATTTTGGGAGGCTGAGGCAGGTGGATCATGAGGTCAGGAGATCGAGACTATCCTGGCTAACATGGTGAAACCCCGTCTCTACCAAAAATACAAAAAATTAGCCGGGCGTGGTGGCATGTGCGTGTAGTCTCAGCTACAAGGGAGGCTGAGGCAGGAGAATCGCTAGGAGGTGGATGTTGCAGTGAGCCAAGATCGTGCCACTGCACTCCAGCCTGGGAGACAGAGTGAGACTCTGTCTAAAAAAAAAAAGAAAAAGAAAAAGAAAAGTGGGAAGGGTAGAATCCCGAGGCCTCTACAACTGTCACTAGGAAAAAAAAAAAAAAAAGTTCTTGTTATTCAAACCGCAACTTTACAGAAAGAAACTTGATATGAATTACCAGTTATCTTAACCACAGTGATGCCCATATACCAAGTTCATTTCCTCTGGGCAAAAGCGGTAGTCGAAAAGACTTCAGAGCTCCCTGCATCACTCACCTGGAGGGCCCGTCCTTTGGTTTCAATGGGGAGAGTAAATGCAGAAATGGCACATACAACACAGACCGACGAGAAGAGACACAGGGCCCCCAGTATTGAAGCACTCATAAGAACCTGCAAGTCACAAGAGAATTACTCACTTTATTATGCTCCAGTCACCTCTAAACTGTTCTTTATGTGAAAGGGGAAATACGGAGTCACTTCACTAACATGGTCCTTTACAGCCATTCTGCAGGTTGTACCCTTCCTGACAAATTGATTTATCTGAGCCACTCTGGTGTAGTCATTTTGTATGATTAGGCCAAGAGCAGGGACCGGCATTAACACGCGTTGGCCAGGTAAGACCCCTCTTGGCACCCACCTGTCAGTCATCTCCAGAGCCAAGTTTTGATATCTGGAGAAGATGGGGGATCTGCCCGTTTTCCCACCTCCTTTCTCATACCGATTCAACTTGCTTAACTTCTAACTCTCACTTCATGCTATATCCTCTCTCTGCCAAATATCCATTATCCCTTCAGTCCTGACAGCAAGAAACAGGCAAAAGTTTTTTTTTTTTGGAAGAGATGTTATCTCAGGGTCTCTGAAAGGATTGCTAATGTGTCTTGTCTCTGGTTATGGAGTTGTGTGACAAGCCTTGTGTGACACCAGAACTCTTTGGTGTCAATTTTTCCACAGTAACTGGGTTTCTGTCCATCTGAACACACGTTTTGGCCTGGATCTTTTCATGCAGATACTGGCTAATTCAGATACTCCATCTCATACTTCAGTTTCTCTTGGTCTGTGTTCTTGGTAGTTCTCCATGAATCTCACAACAACAGTAAAGTATGAAGTGGTTAACCAACAGCAAAGCTCTCTAGAATCATAGAATAACATATTATAATTTAGAATGGCCTAGAAACTATCTGGCTGAATACAATTTCTTCCCTTTACAGATGAGCCTAGACTAAGTGACTAATCTCAGTAACTACTTGTCCAACGTCACATACAGATCCTGACACACAGCCTGGTGGTACCACCACCACTTAGGTTCCCTTATGATACACAATTTGGGAGTATACCTCCTGTGTTTCAGGGCTGCTGCCTTCCAAAACACTAAATAATTCCACTCACCGTGCAAACAGAACCCACAACATCGATCTCACTAATTATTTTGCAATTGCCCTAGCAAGTTATAGGTACTATGCTGATTTTTCTCCCAAAATTACAATTTTCCCCAAACAGGAGTTTGTATAACGTGTGTGTGTGTGTGTGTGTGTGTGCGCGCGCGCGCGTGCACGCGTGTTTACTGCTGGAAGTCTCGGAAGCAAGCTCAGAAAAGGGATAGAAACCAGAAGGCCAGGCAGTCTGAGCTAAGATCACATCATGCCATAATTAGGCATGTGTCTAGATTCTGTCATTATTGCTACTTCTATTACTGGACACCAAAATTCTCGCCACCACCAGAACGAATCCTAAACTATCCCCACTTTATATCCTTATACCACATTTAAAGTCCTGGGTAGTGTGAGACCCAGATGAGTTGAGTTGGGGTCACCTACCTGTGCTCCAGCAGTCACGGTCAGGGAGAGTAACTGCTTAGGCGTTCTGGCTTCCCTGAAGCTTCGTAACAAGACTCCACAATCCACTAGATGTTACCAGATATTTTTTCGATAAATTCTACTTAAGTTTTCTAAAGTCAGTTTCTATTGTTTGTAAGCAAGAACTCTGAGTAATACCTGATTATAAAAATAATCTTGGAAATTTGTTAAAATGCAGATTTTCAGAGACCACTCCAGATTTACTAGATCAAAAGTAAAGAGATCTGTTGTTAATCTCTTCTTCTAAAAAGCAATCCAGACTAGGGATAGAGAGACATTATA